AAGCCCCAAAACCCCCATCAAATTGTTGTTGAACGCTGACAGGCTGACAGCCACATCGGCTCCGACGACTAGCAGCGTGAAGCCACTGAACATTAAAGTTGAATACTTTCAATTTTTTCAATTTTTTGAACAAGAGATCGTTTAATGGATGAGAGATCTTCTTCTCTCTCCGATTTTTCCACTCGGGCGTGTGAAATCAGCTTCTGGTCCAATCAGATTCGGTTGCTGAAGCAGAAATGCTTCAACTCCCGCAGATAACAGAGCTCTTTGACTCGATTCTTCAGATTCAGCTCTCTGTTTTCAGTTGTAGAAAAATGGATGTTTGAAAACTGGTTTTGATTTCGAATCACTCCTCACCAACATTCAAACCAATCTCACTACTACCCAACTTCTGTAGATCATCCCGATTCTCCGTTTTCAATCAGATTACAAAATTGTTTAAAAAATTCAGATATGATCTTGAGTTTTGTCATCTCTTCAATAAACTCCAGGTGTTGGGTTTACCGTTTAAATCAAAATTCCTACAAAATTAACAAACCAACAATTCAATTAAAGTTCTCACATAAGAAACTTTAAATGTTACTTCAATTGTCTAGTGCTGCAATAAAAGAATCTAGTCGTTCAAATGGACAAAACAGCTTTGAATGGAATCGATGGAGCAAAGAATTCATAGCCTTGGATGAATGATAATTTTTCCCCTTCTGCTTATGAAGGCTGAATGGGTTAATGGAGTTTACAGAAATGCTAATTGTGGGTTTGAATCCTGACGGACTTCATCATGAGAGTTTAAATTCAAATTTTTTTATCACGAGGACTATCTTCCGATTACCCTATTACCATAGGACCACTTTTAGCCTTCAATGAAAGGCATATGACATTTCAATCGCGTTAAATCAGGTTGTGAATTTAACCTAATAGGGCGAGGAAATGGCGGTCTTTCAAAAGTAAAAACAACCAAAAAGGTCTTTGCTTTACTATTTTAGAGAAGATTACTTAGCCAGCCAAAACTTGAGGGACATCGCTAAACATATTGATCACATATTTCTGGATAGTTTTCCGTTTGGAGCTTCTAAAAATGGATGGGCAGGGACTATTTTTAGATAGAGAGAAGCAAGATACACAAACATGGCAATGGTTTTATAGAGGCATATATTTCCATAGTTGAAAAGGATTAAAATCCCTACATAGAAGGACTTGGGAGTTCTTCCTTGAGGTCCTTCTATGCGACTCTGAGAGAGGCTTTCCCATAATATGACCATTGCAGGAACCACATCATCTGATACAATGGGCCTGAAGGGTGGTGTTATTCTTCTCGGCTTTGTCGCCTTTGCTTTGTTTTCTTGCGTCGATGGTTTATCCGGCGGCGAACATCTTTTGGGGGAGGTTGTCCGTCGTAGTATGGCTGAGAACGACACCGCCTGGGTGAGCAGTAAAGTCTTTACGTTTCAAGACAAATATTTAAATATTGGATTTCAATTAACGTGATGATGTTTAATTTATTCGTGTCTGTCTCTAACAACTATGGAACTATATTGTCATCTACTGTGTCATTTGATGACTAAATTATTTTTTAAAAAGGATAATGCTAGCAAGATCAAATTTTTTAAATCAAATAATGTGATTGTTGATGATTGAATTATTATTAAACGTTGATTAACGTGCTTATCTTTTATTGGTGACACATCATTTAGTTTGCAAATTTAGTTTAAAATGTTGATCTCCCTAACATTGCTCTTTAAAAATATTAGGATGAAAACTGTCGTAAGTTGCATTAATATTGCACAGTTAAAGAGCGTAGACATTGCATATTGTTCCACAATCTCCTAACTAATAAAATGAAAGAAAATTTAGATTAGAACTGTAATAAACCACAAAATATATGCCTCATATCCCATAGTTCCCTAAATTTTGTATTTATTGTAAGCGGTGGAATGTTCGGATGATTAAGACATTATTATTCAACTCACTGCATTTCTGAATTTAAACCCACCCCTGGATCGACCTACCGTGGTCTGGGCAAATCACTTTTGCATCCTACTATCCAAGTTCCAATATGCAAAATTAGAAGTTGTACACATGTGAATGGAGTATGATGAAGAACAAGGAAAATGGAAAGAGAATCTACAACTTGGCATAAAGTGGAGGTTTGCAGCAAATAGTACGTAGAGAAGCAAGTTGTAACTTGGCAACAAGGAATTATCCAAAAACAAAACTAGTCAACTAGGAAAGTTTTGTGTCCTCCCCCTTTTTTTCTTTTTGACAGGGATCCCACAACTACTCACAAATATCTATATAAGAAAGTTACCAACAAATATCTAACAAAATATTATGCACAGAGGGATATGATAACACAACATTTTTAAACTCTTACATACCCATATTTAATTGTGTTTCATGTTTTTCTTTAATTTATTCAAGACGACAATCAATATAAATACAAAAAAACAAAAGTGTTTAGAAATCACCTCCCATGCACAAATAGAAAAATATTTTTAAACACCTGCTTGAGAATCCCTTTATTAACTGAAAAATCTTTTGTTAATTGTTTTTAGCTTTCTAGTGTTAAAAAATTATTTAAAAAATACAACTGTTGCCAAATTTATTAAACTCAAAAAAGTAGCTTTCAGTTTCAGTTTAATTCTATTTTTTTAATTTTAAAACAAAAACTAAAAATTAAAAAGAAAGATTTTCAAACGACCATTAAGAGAATCACATTTTTATGAAAAATGATTCACATTTTAAACTACCTATGTCAATCACATTAGAAAGTTAATTGTATATAAAATATTCTTGTCACATGACAATGTTAAAACAATCCAGTTATGAAATGCCATGCATGTGTCTTGCATAATCAAATATGACAGTTTGATGAAAGTTTTTCTCTGCATTATTTTTTACAGCAAATGTGTTAGTTACTACATAATCTAGCTAATATAGTTAAAAGAAGAAGTTAAAAGGAGATTAAAATGTGTGTATAATTTGGTGAGAGGTGTGAACAACACTCCAAAAACATATCACGAGTCATTACAAGACAAGGCCAACCAGCCTCTTTCTTCCCGTGCAGACAACAGCCTAGCTTCTGCCTTCTGCTAATTATTTCCACATTTCTCTCACTTTGTCTGCCACTTTTTCTACCAAAAAAAAAAAATCACAGCATTTTAGCAAAACCAAGCCCTCAAATTTCAGTGCTTTCCTTGCTGAAGTGCTTTATCCAACCATGGTTTTTAATCAGTCACTGAAGTTTGTTCTTGCCCTCTCTTTTCTTGTCCTTTATTTTAACTCCATTAATTTGCATGCCCTTAACATTGGTGTCCAAGCCACAGATGCCTCCATTGTTCTGGTTTGCTCCTTAATTACCATGTTCTTCTTAATAATCTATTTACTTTTAATATTTTTTGGGTTCCCAATTGCTTTCAAATCATAACGTGTTCTCCCTTCCCATAAATTCTAAATATTTGCAGAGTAAAGATTGCAGTAGACAATGTGAGTCAGAGTTCTGTACAGGTACTGCATTTTATTTAATTAAAATTTGGATTTAGTTAATGAACTGATCAAATTATGTTTATACCATTTTTCTTTGCCCAATTATAAGGAAATTAATTACATTTTTCTTGAGTTTAATTTTGTTTTTGTAATGACAGTGCCTCCATTTTTGAGATATGGGAAGTATTGTGGGCTTTTATACAGTGGATGCCCAGGGGAGCAGCCCTGCGATGGCCTAGATGCATGTTGTATGAAGCATGATAACTGCGTTCAATCGAAAAACAGTGCGTTCATTTTCTTAATCCTTACAATCTTTTTACAGTTTACTGTGCTCTGAGATTATTTATCATTTTGTTTTCATGGGTTAGAAATATTTTTTTATATACAACAAAAGAAATTCAAATCCGGGTGAATCGACAACACATGCGTCCTTACCAATGTAGTTATGCTCAAGTCTATGAGGTGCAAATTTGAATTAGCGTAGGAAGATTAATTAAAACTGTAGCATCAAACACTTCTGTGTTGGTAGAGAAGATATTTATATGAAATAGTCATATAGATTATAAATCGGGGAAGGAGACACTTTGATGAGCTTTTTCAAGTGTCGGGGGTGTAAGTGTAATATTTAAATATTTTTTGTCAAACGATAGATTTGTTAGAATAGAAAGCAGACGAGGTTTGAACTTACACCATCATACAAGAGTAACACTCCTCTGCACCACTGTGATAAAATGCCACTTGCTAAGCCTAATATTTAATTACGTGTTTCATGTTTGACAGAACCTAAATGGGGTGTTTGTGCACATTATCTATACTGAAATCTAGCGCACGTCTTTTGGTACTAAAGCCAGGAATCCGAACACATGACCTCATATGCACTAAATTATTTGAGTTACAAATTCATCGCTTCTATTTATTTTCATTTTAATCGGGTTGTCTATGAGAACAACTTGAATGCAACAGGTTCACAGTTGCATAGTATCTCAGTCTAATTAATAATGCAATGTCAGTGTGATGAAAAACTTTTACATGGTATAATATTGTTGAACCGAGACACCATGTTACCGATAAACCCTTTCCGTGGAAGTGTCTTTCTACGAGAGATTAGATTTGCAAGTGCAAATAGAAGGAAAAGTAAATAATGGTGGTATTTTGTTATGTTTGTGGTGCAGATGACTATCTAAGCTCAGAGTGCAGCCAAACGTTCCTAAATTGCATGGCAGAGTTCAAAAACAAAAGAGGGAAAACGTTTAAGGGGAACAAATGCCATGTCGAGGATGTTGTCGAAGTTATAACCCTTGTCATGGAGGCTGCTTTAGTTGCTGGAAGATATCTCCATAAGCCGTAACACCACAGCAGCTAGCCTCTATCCTCTAGTCATTTCTAATTGTTTCACATTTTCGTTTTCCTTTTTCTTTCTTTTTCTCGTGTTATTTCTTCTTGCGTTTAATAAAAAGAAAAAACAAATTTCATTCAGAATTCTGTCTTCGTCACGGAGGAGGAGAAATAGAAAGAAGTGAAAATTGTAAATTACATATTTATACTTTAAATTAAATTTTGTAGATGTCCAGGTTGACATGGTGTTTGATCAATTTCTCTAAAATTCCACACCATGAGACACTGATTCCAACAAATAATCAAGTCCACTACAACTCAAAAGTGCCTACTGCATATATATGTATTACCAAATAAGGAATAAAAGTATATTTAGGAAAACCTCTCTAATTACCTGAGCTACTAGGCTTAGATCCGCTCTTCGCCTTTGCAGCTCTTCCTGAAGAAGCATCTGGGCCATCTCTCTATTAGCTAGTGAACTTGCCGCTCTTGCCGCAACTAATTCGCATCTGGGTCATCTCTATCGGCTAGTGAACTAGCCGCTCTTGCCGCAACTAATTCATCTAGGGCCGCTCTCTCAGTTGGTTAGCTAGTGTCAATGGCCATCTGCTATCTTTTAAGTCTATGAATGACATAATTGAAACATTGAACTCACGATTTCATCTTTATTTTGGACTTCAAATTCAATAAATAAAATGAAAACAACCAACAAGATAAACAGGTTGTGCAGGGGAGACAAAAATGGTGTGTGGTTACCATAACCCCGGCACAAATTTTATAAGGCAGCATACAATTCAAAATACTAGACATTAAGCAACTGTAAATTCATAAGTAGCACGATATAAAGTCAGTAATAAGTTGAGTCAACTGTTTATGATACACAATCTCTGAATAAGAAGATTTCAATTCTTAGACAACATATAGATCTTGAAACTTTTCAGGAATGCTATTAATTCACATGAAGTTCGTACAGATCCCCACACGAGTAAAGTACACCGACCACATATAACATAACTCAAGTTCCTCTAGAAATAGGATCTAAAAAATTTAATGATAACTGTTATTGGGACTCCAGTACAATTTCTCCCTTGTACATTAAAAACCAAGAGTGCACAATGACATTTTTGGAGTGCTAGTGACAGCTCCTATTTGGAAATATGGAGTTACCTAGATGACCAAGCAAACCCTGACCACGAATGAAAGACGTTGTAACTTTCATGCCCAATATAATCCCAAGGTGGATCATTATATCTCAATTCAAACCAGAACAGTACCTACAGCATTAATAAGACCATGTGTCTTAGTAGCAAAAATCTATCAAATTTTTAATACTCAAATCAACAACTAAGATCAAAACATCAGCAAACATTAAATGTATAAAAAAGAATCTTGCAGTTCCAAATTGTAACGAACTCTGTATCTCAGTGCCATATGACGACAAATCAGACCAGGAGATCTTGAAAGTGTATACCTACGATGTAAGGTATGACATTGCCAGTTATTTTTAATAACATGACTTCATTTTCCCTTTGTGGTAAGCAAATGAATAAATGAAGTGAACCGGGCAAACTAGCCAAGGTTGATATCCAATCAGAAGCTGGCATATTGGAGGCAGAAGATTTAAGAAAAATGGAGCAAATCTGTAGTGGATTGCGTGCAGCTCATGTGCAAGGTAACACATCGAGAACATGAAGGATTATTAAAGATACTGGAATTTCCCTAACAAGAGGAAGTAGATTTAGTGACGAATGTACATTGACTTACACGAGCAAAGTTTACGCTTTACGACAAACATTCATGCAAAACACGAAGTGCATTCATCCAAAGTAACCACAGCCAGAATCTCAACTGGGACCGCTGATTATAAATGGAAATCTGAACAAACTAAAGCTAAAGGTATCTAATCGCCAGTAACCAGGCAAAACCTGAGTGAGTCTATGATTGTAATAACCACAAGTAACAGATCCATTAATAGTTCTTACATCCATAAGTTCAAGGCAGTAATGAAACAGAAGTATCACTAGAACGATATCAAGTACATAAGTACACAGAATTTGGTAATACAAAACATTCTTGATTCTACAACCAAAACCAAAAAACAGAACAACAGCAGGATAGAAATACCATCATACACAAGCCAAAGTGTCCATATGTGCATAAGCAGATTGCCATCGAACTATTAGAGACCTCTTGGTGTAAATGTTTTTGGGAGTTAAGTCACAAACTTTCTTATCCCTAAGATTATAAGAGATGACCTTACAGGGAATGTGCAGCAAAATAGACAAATCATGCTCATCAACAAATACAACAACAAATGAGTAGTAGGGTTCAAGAGGGTTGCAAACCATCTCCGGAAATGCAGAGCTTATGGCATTAAGGTCGACATTGTACTTGACTAACCAACCAGAGTAGTCCTTCTCCATCTCCAGCACCTCAAATTGCGAAAGTTGCGGCCTAGAAATTTCGATAAGATGCAAATGGCCACAAGACTCCCCAAAATATCTATGCCATCGGTAGCCGCCGTGACCCGGCGGACTTGGCACAGTCCTGAAACGATGTTCATCTGTGTCATAGAGCAAAACCTTACTTGCATCGCCAATCCAACTAATTAGTCCATTGCAGTGCACTCCACGGCTGAAGTTCATATCGAATTTTGCAGGGAAATTAGCCCGAAAAACCTTCCAACTTCGGGTCTCAGACAAAAAGACCTTAAATTGGTAACCTCCAACTGACTCAGAAATGGTACTAACGACGACAACCTTGTAATGAATCGATTTCGCAGGATCGAAAGCCAAAGCGACACCCGAAACGGTTGTCGATTTAGTAGCAGCTGGAAAAAAGAACGTTGAGAACTTACTGGTTGTGGGATTGACAACGTAGTACCTTCCGGTCGTGCTGAGGGAGGAGCAGCACAGGAGCAAGCCGTTGCAGGACTGCAGAATCTCGACGCCCCGTGGGTCGCCGACAAAATTGAGAGGTTTGGAGCGAAACCCAGATGGATTTTCGTCGTTGCCGAGAGAGGTGAAGAAGATTTCTTGAGATATTATGGTCCGGGCGAAGAAGGCAGAGACCTTGGAATTTGGGTTTTGGAGGGCATGGCGGTTGCAGAAGTTGGGGCCGGAGATAAGAGCGAGCCAGTGCTTGGAGACGGATTTGAAGCGGAGCAGAGATTTAGGGGGCATGCAAAGAAGGATATGTGCAAGGAGGTCTTCGTTGCTGGCTATGGTTTCAGCTGCTTCGGGACAAAGACTCTCCATTTTCCTAAGGTCTTTTTCTTGTTCTATGGGTGAAACGAGGAGAGTCTGGGGTCTACATCCGACGGTAAGCGATGCGATGCGGTTTAGTTTCGAGTTTTATGCGATATAGATTAAAGGATTGTAAAGTTTAAAAAATAGACTGCTTCTATGTAAGTTAAAAAAAAATATAACGAAATATCATTAAATTTGATACTTTTTACTTATAAATAAATAAAGTATGTGATCATCCATTAACATAATAATGTATTTTTATGTAATTATTATATTTTAAAAATAAAAATTGAAGTTTGTAGTTATATTTGTTTATATTAATGAGATTTTAAATAAAATTCATATTTTGTGGAATTAAAAATATTAAAGGAAAATTATACTCGTTAATATATTATATAGGAGTATTGGTATCGAATACCACTACCACAACAACAAAGTATTTTCCCACTAAATAGGGTCGGTTATATGAATCCTAAAACGCTATTGCGCTCAGTTCTGTGTCACGTCTTCCGTTAGATTCAAGTACTCTAAGTCTTTTCTTAGAGTATTTTCCAAAGTCTTTCTAGATCTTCCTCTACCCCTTCAGCCCTGAACATCTATCCCGTAATCACATATTCTAACCGGAGCATCAGTAGGCATTCGTTTCATATGTCCAAACCACCATAATCGATTTTCTCTCATCTTTCCTTCAATTTCGGCTACTCCTACTTTACCTTAAATATTCTCATTCCTAATCTTATCCTTTCTCGTGTGTCCATACATCCAACGAAGCATTCTCATCTCCTCTACACCCATTTTATGTACATGTTGATGTTTCACCACCCAACATTCTGTGCCATAAAGCATTGTTGTCTTATAAAAGTTTCCCTTAAGCTTCAGTAGCATACGACAGTCATACAACAAGCCGGATGCATTCTCCCACTTCATCCATCCAGCTTGTATTATATGGTTGAGGTTTCCATTCAACTTTCCGTTCTTTTGCAAGATAGATCCTAGGTAGCGAAAGCGGTCGCTCTTTGGTACTTCCTGATCTCCATTTGAGCCTCCGTTTGCACTGAACTTGCAGTCCATATACTCTGTTTTTTACTAACTTAAGCGAAGACCTTTAGATTCCAACACTTCTCTCCAAAGGTTAAGCTTTGCATTTACTCCTGCCTAAGTTTCATCTATCAACACTATATCGTCTGCAAAAAGCATACACCAAGGAATATCATCTTGAATATATCATGTTAACTCATCCATTATCAATCCAAACAGGCAAGGACTTAAGGATGAGCCTTGATGTAACCCTACAGTTATGGGGAAGCTTTTGGTTTGTCCTTCATGAGTTTTTACGACAGTCCTTGCTCCATCATACATATCTTTTATAGCTTGGATATATACTACTCGTACTTCTTTTTTCCCTAAAATTCTCCAAATAATGTATCTTTGTTACAACCACCCCCTCCATATTTTCATTTTATTTCTGTTTTCCCCTAGAACATATTTTAAATCTATCAATTTAATCCCTTATTCTCTTTTAATCCTAGCCGTTGATCTAAATTCCCTATTGCTTCTAAACTGCCAAGTGGCAGGTTCTCTAACTCTCTTTTCTTTCCCCTCTGCCTGAGTCTTCCCTCTCAGACATCTTTCTCTCTCACAGGAACCCTCAAGTTCCAAGAGCTCCGAGAACTTTTGTTTCTTTCCTCTTCGAAAAACAAATCAAACCTAACAGTTTAACCTCATATCTAGAATCCTTAGAACTTGAGGAACACAACTATAACCTTGCATGCGTCGATATAACACCTTTGTGTGTTCTGCCATTGAAGCTGAAAACTTTAAACCTCTGAAATTCGAACTCAGGCAAGGCTCACTACTCTATTTCTATTTTGTTGAGTTATTCTCAGTTCAAATGAAAGTTCTAATCAGTGCATACCTTATATTTTTTGTTTTCCAGAACCCGGTGAGAAAACCCTACGAGCTCCGAGATCCACCCAGTCATTCTTATCCACAGTTAAGACTCTCTATGGTATATTTTCGTTCCCATCATTTCAGTTATCTTCTCTCTTTAATTTGGTACTTGGTTTGAATGTTTATTTTCACATTTGCCGTCGACCGGAGCTATAATAGCTCCAGTGTTCTTCCCCGACTGCACCCAAGCCACCCAGGCCATCAGGCCTTCTCAAACACCTACAGGCCTTAGCCCAGCCCAGTTTCTTATGTCTTTTATTTGATTATTTGGCATGTGGGCCGTGCCCTGCATGGGCCGTGCATGTGTGTGGGTTATGTGTGTGTGTTTTGGGCTGTGCATGTGCATGGAGTGTGTGTGTTTTGGGCCATGCACATGTTGTGCGTGTGTGTGTGTTGTGTGAGTGTGTGTGCGTGTGTGCGTGTGTGGGTGTTGTGCCCATGTGTGTGTGCATGTGTGTGTGTGTGTGTGTGCGCGCGCGCTAGGCATGTGTATGTGTGTGCTGGTGTGTGTGTTGTGTTATGTGGGTTTGGGCTCAAGCCCAAACCACCACCACTTTTTATTCCTAAACCTTTCCAAAACCAAAACCCTTTACCTAAACCCATTAGGCCTTAACCATTCAACCCAAATCCTTTATTTTTATTTAGTTCAAGCCCAAATCCTTTAGAAAATCCTTTTATTTATTTACTACCTCTTTGTGCTTAGGTGAAGTTGCTAGTGAGGAAACCCTTAATCATTTTTCGCACAATTCTGCTGCTACGGAGAGTCTGTGAGTGGACAATTTCTAAAATTTGCATAATTTCATAGTTTAATTACATAAATTAAATGCATGCCTTACGAGTTTATGATTTGATTTTAGGTTAAGCATGTTTATTGAATATGTTGATTTTCGTCTCGTGCTTTTGGTGAGGAATTAATTGTTGGCCTATATTGAGCTATGTTTTAATATATCGTATTTTCTATAAAAACCATGAACTGGTAGACTATCTGATGAATGACAATAGGATGCTAGAACATGTTTTAGAAACCTCTCTTTATAGTATAGACGATGGATGACTTTATACTATGAAGTGGTTATTTATAAAAGGCGTAACAATTTGTGCGTACCTAGTGAACACTATGCCGCCTAGGGCTAGGATCTGGTGTTGGCAGATAGGCCGAGAGAAATAATCCCTAGCTACGGGCTAAGGGACACGGAGTAGGCATTGGGTCGGGAGTTAGTAATCTCTGGTTACGGGCGCAGAGACCACGGTGCTAGCATAGGGTCGGGAGATATATTTATTTCAGTGATCTTACTAGTAGTACATCACGTGACAAGACGATCTGTGAGATGTTTGGTATTTTATTTTCCATGATGACTTTTAAGATATTTTTGGCATGCTAGGGTTTTCAGTAAATCCATCACTTATTATGCTAGTAGTTTTCTTTATATAAATTGTGGGGGTGAGTATATTGATAACTGTTTTATTATTATTGTATATATGAACTTGGTCCACTCACCTTTGTTTTGCGCCCCCATTCAAGTCTTAGAAACGAGGACTACGACACAACGTACGAGGCATTCCCTTACTAGTAGCAATCTATCACTCACTTGTGTGATATCTTGTAATGATCTTTCCTTTAGTGATCTTGTTTTAGAATGTATTCTGTGCACTCTAGACACTTCCTTAAACTTTGTTTATTATTTTTAGATTCTAATGATTATTCATGCTTATGTTCCTCCTAATCATTACTCTAGTATTCAATAAATGGATTTCATCACCCTTAGGTGTCGGCTAGCACGTGCCTATCCAAGTATTCGGGGAATATCGAGGTTGGGACGTGTCACTCTTGGGACCTTATCATACACTTTTTCTAAATCTATAAAGACCATGTGCAAATCCTTTTCATATCTCTATATCTTTCCATCGATCTTCGTACGAGATAGATTTCCTCCATGGTTGAACGCCTTGGCATGAACCTAAATTGGTTGTTCGAGACCCGTGTCTCTTGCCTCAGTTTATGCTCAATTACTTTCCCCTAGAGCTTCATTGTATGACTCATTAACTTAATACCCTTATAGTTCATGCAATTTTGTACTCGTCCTTATTCTTGTAGATAGGCACCAAAGTGCTCTTTCGCCACTCATTTGGCATCTTCTTTGTTTTCAAAATCCTATTGAAAGGGTTTGTGAGCCATTTTGTACCCGTCTTTCCCAAGACTTTCCACACCGTATCAGAAAATTTTGATTTTGTACATTACCGTGTTATTATTGACTGGCACAAAATTCATATTGCACGGTTGGCACGGTAATTTGGCAAAAAGTTACACCCCTTGTGACATATGTAGTTTATTTATGAAACTAGGATTTTCAATTTTGATCGAGGAAGAGCCTAGTGACAGTATATTGTGACACAACATTGGTGCAGGCTTTGCTTGGAGTTCAGGTGAGTTAACTTTAATATTATGTGACAAATATTTTGAATATTTCCTTTGTTATATACTTTGTGTGTGTAACATGAAGATACAAATGGTTATTATTCCCTTGTTATATACTTTGTGTGTAACATGAAGTTACAAATGGTTATTACCTAGTTAATATTATGCTTTATGAAATGCATATGTATGAATATTTGAAATGATTGCGAACTAAGAGGGCTAGTAGACAACTATTATTGTTGTGTACTTTCTTTCTGGTTCCATGAGAGTGTTTGGAACCCTAGATGTTTATCTTTCTTTATGGTTTCATGAGTTGATCTGAAACTCATGTGAATACCTTCATTCTAGGTATGCCATGAGAAAGTCTGGGCCTAGAATTCTTTATGTCAGCCATGAGAAAGTCTGGGGCAAAAATTTCACTAGCAGTAACTGTGAAACATTTCGAAATGCAATGTCTGTATCTTTCTGTTATCGAATTGCAATGAGAAATTTCGGAATCCAGTGTTTGTATATGATTCCATAAGTGTGTTTGGAAGGGTATTTATCAAATATAGCCAAATATTAGCCCCTAATTTCAAAAATATCATTTTTTTAATAAAAACTTTCAAATATATCCAAAATATCACTTAAATGGACACAAACACCTATAAGTTTTAAACCAAATAAATTAAAAAACCAAAAC